CCTGCTGCCCCTCTACTCCCTGCTGCCCCTCTACTCCCTGCTGCCCCTCTACTCACTGCTGCCCCTCTACTTCCTGCTGCCCCTCTACTCCCTGCTGCCCCTCTACTCCCTGCTGCCCCTCCACTCCCTGCTGCCGCAAGGCCGGGCCTTGGTTGGCCTTGTGGGAAATCCGGCCCTGCAGCCCATTCCTATTGAGCGCAAAGTCCGTAAACGCTCGCCGGATCGCTTACACGTGGCCGGTCCCTGAAACTTTTATTTCCCTACTATTGCAACCTCCCACAAGCGGGGGGGGGGCCCTCCTAACCCTCCTGCACTGGAATTGTATTAACAACTGTACTGTCTCCCTCCATTCTGTACAGCGCTGCGCCAACTGTTGGCGCTATATGAATCCCGTATAATGATAATTTTTGCTGAGTAACCGTCTCTATTTTCGGCAGTATCGACTCCCTCTCCGAAAATCTCGGCGGAATAGTTGGCATTTTATGTAATTAACGTATTAATTATTCCGCTCCTGTCAGTGGACAAATATCTAGGTCACACATTCATCATGTCCTCTCTCCGTAGGATAGACGACGCTCCATGAGAGTCCTTGTACTCCGAAGTTCTGGCAGGGAACGGATACATTGTGTGCCGGGCTGCAACAAAAGTATCAATTCCAAAAACATTTCCAGGTTCTCCGTTTTTGTTGTTTTAAAGACCCGGTTTCATTTCTCCATTTGATGTGTTTCTGACCATCAGAAGTCGAAGTTCTCCTTCCATCCTTCGGCTGAGTTCCTGCCGGCAGTGAAGCGGTTAAGATTTCTCTCCCAAAGTCAAACAAAAGCAGTGGTGAATGAGCGGGGCGTGGACTGCGGCGTAGCCAGGCCCCCTGAGCTTGTCGGGTGGGAGAGCTTGGTCACAGTCTGCACTGGGTTCAGTTTGCTGGCAGTTCTTTCAGGTAAAGCCAGCTTCCCCCCCCCCTCCCCTTTTCCTTACAGCCTCAGGGAAACAAAACCGTCACGAACGCCATCGAAACCTGTCACCGCTCTCGCACCGGATCGTGGATTAAATGTCACGTTTGGAATATATCTAAGGAAAACCTTTTTTTTTTTGTTGTTGATCCTCTCTCTTTTTGTTTTCAACTCGGATGGGCGTCCGTGGGAATTGGCCGTGACGAGACCTTCCGTGGTGTGTTACCTGCAGCATATGGAATAATACAAGGCGACGGAGAAATAAAACCCATGTGCCTTGGGTCTCCGAAGCCGGCCGTCTGCTTCCAGGTTGGTTTCCAGTTTTACCATCTCGATGTTTTTGTATTCCGTTTTCCTGTCGCTGCTGCACCTGTAACGGGGGGCCCGGCATTTTCTTCTGGCTCTGGAATCCCGAGCGTGTTCAGATCTCCCAACAGTTTGCCGAGTTTGAAATGGAGCCGGTACGGGAGTTGAGGAGGGCGCTGGGCCGGGTGTTTAGCGGTCGCCCTTTGTTGGACGGAAGGGCCGAGCTTTTGTTGAATTTTGAAATCTTTGCTGGTTAGGAGCGGCGGGCTCGGTGCTCGGAGCCAGGACGAAGCTTCTACTGGTCTGGTTGTTCCCTGCTGGTGGAGGACGTGAGGAGGATTGTGGTGGAACACTCGAGAGTTTTTGTGCGTTGGGGAAGGTTTGCGTTCAGCTTCGGGAAGGAATGAGAGTCGTTTGCTGCAGCCGAGGCAGTTTGGGAATTCGTTTAAGCTTCATCCTTTTATTTTGATGGATGAAAGTAATATAAATCCTTTGGGGAGTCGGGGACGGTCCCTGGTGCGTCTCAACCAGTTCTGGAGACTTTGCTGGCCAGTAAATGCTTGTTGCTCCTCTTGCTCCGTTATTACCTAAAATGGGTCAGGCCGTAAAAACGAGATTTCATTGTGTTTAGGAACTCGGTTTTATTGGACTAGTTATTACCGCTGTTATGGGACTAATCAGAATGTTATGAACCTCTGAGAGTTTTCTATATAGGGCAGTGCGAGATGCAG